AACATTAGGGTTGATGCTCCCACATTTGATGGCAACCAAGATCCCCAGATCTTTCTAGACTGGCTTAAGAGTATGGATAATTTCTTCAAATGGTACAACATCTCAGAAGAAAAGAAAGTCAAATTTGTTGAAATGAAACTAATTGGGAGAGTTGGTCAATTTTGGACCAACTTAAAAAACCTTAGGAAATCCCGAGGAGAGTATCTTATAACTGATTGGAGAGCCATGAAGAGAGAACTAAGGCAGAAATACCTCCCACCTTATTTCCCGAGACTCTTGGATAGGTGGAATAGATTGACTCATGGCAACAAATCCGAAAGGATTACATTACATCATTCAATGAGTTCATTATCCATTGCAGTGGTGAGACCACCTCCACTCCTGCACAAATCCTATCCATGTTCCATGCTGGTTTGCGTGAGGATCTTCGCAACGAATTATTTGCTAGAAACATCACCACCATGGAGAGTGCCTATAGCGTTGTTTTGGATTTGGAAGAGTCTAGGCCACATCCCCCTACTCGTCATACTGAGTCTGGACCCCATTCAAACATTCCATTGGATCGGCTCCACATACCCCATCTCCTCGACCAACCACTAGCTACCATAATCGACCTTCCTCTAGCACACCCCAGAGTCGACCTAACTTGAAAGGCAAATCTCCTATGATAGATTAACCCAAGACCCATCCTGGAACTAAATGTTTTAGATGCCATGTGTATGGCCATATTGCTTCACATTGTTCTAGTCCTCACCAAGTTACTATTATTGAAGAGAAAGTGGATGATGAAACTGAAGCTGAAACTGATTTTATTCACCAAGTAGATGATGAAAGTGAATAATTTGAGGATGTGGGTGACACTGAGATCATCCAAAGCATTCAAAGATTTGATCCATCTCCCCTCTCTATAGTGAGATGTGCGTTATCTTAACCCCATTCAATTGATGACTGGCGTAGGGCAACCATTTTTCACACCTACACCAAGAGAAAAGATAAAAATTGCAAAGTCAACATTGATAGTGGTAGCTGCATCAATGTTGTCTCTTCCAGCATGGTGACCCACTTAACCTTATATGTTGTTCCACACCCCTACCCTTGTAAGGTAGCATGGGTTAATTCCACTTATTTGGAAGTGAAAGAATGAAGTCACATACCCATCTCCTTCTCTGAATATAAGGAGAACGTTTGGTGTGATATCCTTACCATGGATGTTGGATAAATTATCCTAGGCCACCCTTGGCTTTTTGATAATGATGTCCTAATTTATGGCCGTTCAAATATCTATATGTTTGAACATTCTGGCAAGAAAATCAAGCTTATGCCAAGCCAGCCAAGGCCAAAGGATGATCCTAAGCCCATGCCCATTAAACCTAACAAATGATTGAACCTTGTATCTGCCAAGGTTTTGGATTCATGCGTGTGTCAAGGTGCTTCCCAATATGTACAAGTTGGACATGATATTGCTCAGGACTCTGTTAGTCCTATCCCTCAAGAAGTCAAACCCATACTTCAGGATTTTGCTAATGTTTTCCCTGAGGATCTCCCCAACCAATTACCTCCATTACGGGACATACAACATGTCATTGATCTAGTCCCAGGTACATCTCTCCCAAATCTACCTCACTATCGCATGAGCCTTACTGAGCATGTTGAACTCAAGAAGCAAGTAGATGAACTCCTACAATGTGGATTCATTAAGGAGAGTCTGAGTCCTTGTGCGTACCTACCCTTCTTACTCCCAAGAAGGATGGTACATGGCGGATGTGTGTGGATAGTCATGCTATTAATAAAATTACTGTTAAATAACGATTCCCTATCCCACGACTAGATGACATGTTGGATATGATGTCTAGAGCCACCATTTTCTCCATAATTGACCTGAGAAGTGGCTATCATCAGATTAGGTTCCGCCTAGGAGATGAGTGAAAAACTGCTTTTAAAACTAAAGATGATTTGTTTAAATGGCTTGTTATGTCGTTTGGGTTGAGCAATGCCCCAAGAACTTTCATGAGGATGATGACCCAAGTTGTTAGGCCATGTGTGGGGAAATTTGTAGTTATATACTTCGACGACATCCTCATTTACAGTCAGTCTATTAACCAACACTTAGGCCATCTTCGACAAGCATGTGATGTCTTGAGGAAAGAGCGACTTTATGCCAATCCTAAGAAATGTGTCTTGCTCACAGACCAGGTCATATTCTTAGGCTTTATAGTTTCATCCCGTGGAATTGCTGTAGATCCCGAGAAAGTGAAAGCTATAGATGATTGGCCTATCCCTAAGAATATCTGGGAAGTTCATAGCTTTCATGGTTTAGCTACCTTTT